TGAAGAAAATAAATTCTTGATATTTTGGTGGGTAAATATTTTTCAGATTTGTTTTTTCTTTTTTGACAATTGGAAAAAATTCTAGACACAATGAAAAAAAAAAATTCACTTTTATTGACAATTTCCATGCAAAACAAAGTCATACGAATGGTATTCGATTTTTTTATTATTTGCAATTGGAACAAATTCTAGAGTCAATGGTAGAAAAACATTATCATTTTAATGGACAATTTTCATAAAAAACGAAGCCAAACGGACACCAAACTTTCAACATTTTCCATGAAAAATTATACCAATCAAACACAATTACTTACAATTCTCAATAAAACAATTTCTAAACAAATCAATTCCCTGTAAAATATTTTATTTCCACCAATTTTCCACCTTTGCAATCAAACGGATCCTAAATCTTTCCTTAGTCTATAGGGATTCCTTTTCTAGTTGCTCTTACTAAAATTAGTTTATGTTTTTCATTTAGGTATTAATTTTTTTAATTCATTGGATTGTGTTGAGTTGGGTTGATCGATTTGAGTAGTTTTGGTTAGTTTTTGCTTAGTCCTACAAATGAGACGTCTATCTTTCGATATATCATTATATTCCGTTTGAGTCCAATTTTAGAGTACATTTAGTTTGTATTTCAATTTTTTAATTTTGAGTTCATTTTTAGTTTTTNAGTACTCAAGTGTATAACCTATCAAAATTACTTCGGGCCGTTCGCTTTGTATTCCAATTTTAAATTTTAAGTTCATTTTTAGTTTTTTATTTTGAGTGTCTGTTTTAATATTGTTAAAAAATGTATTTGATTTGTTATTTTGAAAAATTATTTCTCAAAATAGAAAATTAGAGAAAGCTTTTCATTTGAAATTTTGAAAAATTATTTTAGACATTTTATCCCATGAATTTAATTATTTTAGTAAAAATAGAACAATTTTATGTTTTAAAGTTGGTGAATCTTACAATTTTTTTCTCATGACAAAAGTAAGTTAAAAAAATAATTGAGTTACAAAATATAGGAAAT